ACCATCTATCCCCCATTTCTTCGTGCACTCTTTAGTTGACTGGATGATCAACTAAAGAATGGGCTGGCTAGTTAAAAGGCTCCTGTAAGTCTATCCAAAACGCCGTCGCTCTCCCCCATTCCCCAAACCCACTGTGCTTACATACCCCACTAGCGTTCCGTGACTACTAGCGTTCTCAAACTATGCGCTCTAGGACAGAGATCACACGGAACAGAACAGATGTCTGGCACACGGAGCCCCACAGCAAAAGCCAGCTGCTGACAGCAGTGTGCCGTCGCAACCTGGTGGCTCTCATGGGCTTCTATGCCTGTCTGAGAGGTGTCTCCTCCCCACATATGCCCTTGCACATCCCCCACACACCAGCTCGATGGCACAGAGTTCTGCAACAACATCCAGTTGATGTCAGCTGTGCGCCACCGCAACCTGGTGACTCTCTCAGGTGGTTGTGCATCTCTCCCGACAACAGGTGGTTGCCAACACAGACATGAGGGACTAACTTGGGAAAGGCGGATAGCGTATTGGCGACATAGAGCTATGCAGTACCGTACACTCCGACGTTCTCACGGGTCGTATATTTCCGTATATATGTTCCCGTAACGGGGTGGTACGACACCGTCGTTTTTGCTAACTCATCCTGTATTATGCATGATAAAATTGAAGCTCAGAGTTTTATGAAATTAATATTTAGGTGACAGCAGTTCTAGTATTCACTTTCAATAATCTGAATTGATTATGCATGGAAGCAGCATCTATAGCGGACAACATAGTATCTATACAGTTTTCTTACAAATAAGTATGCATCAGGAAACGATTCAAAGGCTACTAAAGCGAATGAGCAGCGAGACCTGCTAGACTCGTTTTCGAACTAAACCCTATTGTTACTTCGTGGGGCGATGAGCTAACATTCCCGCAAGTTCGAATGCATACGCGTAGGAGACCTTGTAGGTTACATCGAGCCAAGTTGCACCAACGCTCTGTTGAGATAGTAAGAGTAGGGCCTAGGCTTAGTAGCCTAGGCCAAAGGGAGTCGAGAGAGTTTAGGCAAAGAGTTGGGAGTTCACTATTGAGCGAGGTACAAATAGCAAACAAAGCATGCAAAGAAGGTGCACCACCAACAAGTTTATAATAACTACACTAACTACAGCTACAGGCAGTTACATATATATTCTAACACTCCCCCATAACTGCCTGCAGCAGAAGCTAATGCAGAGACACCCCTTGAAGGGGTACACCAAGCGCAGCAGAAGGAGAGGGCAAGTGAGGAGGAGGGACTATATGAGGAGAAGCTGCTGGCTCCAAGGCGGCTGCTTCCTGGAACCTTCCTTAGTCCTCCAAATCCCCCTTCCACACTCCTCGACAACCCTACCACCTCTCCCCCAGCTCCCCCACACCCTCACACCCACCCCCCCCCCCCCCCCAGCGGCAGCTGCAGCAGTGGGAGAGAAAGGAGGAGGAGGGGAAGGGGATCACACACACCCATCACCCCCATATCCGCCACCCCCATAGCCTCCGTTCCACGGCTGCACGCGCAGCAGGGAGACGAAGAAGGGGGAGGGGGAAGAGCAGGGGCAGCATAGGCACGGGCAGGGCAGCCGCGCGTGCAGGGCAACAGCGCGGAGCAGGGCAGGGCAGCCGCGCATGCAGGGCAACAGCGCGGAGCAGAGCAGGGGCAGCAACAGACGGCGACGGGCAGCACAGGCACGGGCAGCAACGGGCGGCAACGCGCAGCACAAGCACGGGCAGCAACGGGCGGCAACGGGCAGCACAGGCACGGGCAGCAACGGGCGGCAACGGGCAGCACAGGCACGGGCAGAAACGGGCGGCAACAGGCAGCACAGGCACGGGCAGCAACAGGCGGCAACGGGCAGCATAGGCACAGGCAGCAACGGACGGCAACAGGCAGCACAGGCACTGGCAGCAATAGGCAGCACAGGGAGGCAGCCGTACCGAGTCCAGGAGCGGCGGCGCATGCAGCTGCAGGGTCGGCGCCGTGGGCTGCTGCTGGGGCGGCTCGCGGGGTCCCTGGGGTGGCATTGCGGGCTGCTGCAGGGTCGGAGCCGCGGGGTCCTGGGGTGGCTACTGAGGTCTAGGGGCGGCTTCACTAGGGGCAGCTGCTCCAGGGGCCAGGGGCGGCTGCAACAGGGGCGGCTGCACCAGGGGCCAAGGGCGGCTGCGGAGGTCCAGGGGCAGCTGCACCGGGGGCGGCTGCTCCAGGGGCCAAGGGCGGCTGCTCTGGGTCCAGGGGCGGCTGCAACAAGGGCGGCTGCACCAGGGGCCAAGGGCAGCTGCGGAGGTCCAGGGTCCAGGGGCAGCTGCTCCAGGGGCGGCGCTGGTGCATGGCAAAGGCGGTGGCCAGGGGGGAGGGCGCCGCGACGAGCAGGGACGGCGCCCAAGGGGCGTCGCGACGAGCAGGGACGGCGCCCAAGGGGCGCCGCGACGAGCAAGGGCGACGCCCCAGGGGCGCCGCGACGAGCAGGGGCGGCGTCCAGGGGGCGCCGCGACGAGCAGGGACGGCGCCCAAGGGGCGTCGTGACGAGCAAGGGCGACGCCCCAGGGGCGCCGCGACGAGCAGGGGCGGCGTCCAGGGGGCGCCGCGACGAGCAGTGGCGACGCCCCGCGGGTCCCGCAGGGGCGTCGCGACGAGCAGGAGCGGCGACGCCCGGGTCCCGCAGGTGCGTCACGACGAGCAGGAGCGGCGCCTCGCAGGGCACCGCGAAGTGGAGGGTACGGGCGGGCAAAACAGGCCCGCGCGTGGACGTGAGGCAGGCGCGCAGGCGGCGTGAAAGCAGGCCGCGCGCGGGGCAGGAAGACGCCGCGCGCCCAGGGCGCACGGCGGGCAGAAAACCGCCGTGCGCCCCGAGCACACGGCGAGAAAAATACGCCGCGCGCCCGAGGCGCACAGCAGGACGATAGGCAGCGGAAGCACATTGGTGGGCCCGTTAGGAAGGCAGCAGGAAGGTACCTGATCTGAATACCATGTTGAGATAGTAAGAGTAGGGCCTAGGCTTAGTAGCCTAGGCCAAAGGGAGTCGAGAGGGTTTAGGCAAAGAGTTGGGAGTTCACTATTGAGTGAGGTACAAATAGCAAACAAAGCATGCAAAGAAGGTGCACCACCAGCAAGTTTATAATAACTACACTAACTACAGCTACAAGCAGTTACAGATATATTCTAACACGCTCAAATTCAGGCACTTCATTTTTTGGGACGGATTCTTGGCGAGGCATCGTTTGTAAACCGGCCCCGCGAACTCATCCATTCCTTAGATGGAGGACCCAATGCATATCGCAACGACTCCAAGTGCCTATCCATATGTCCAAGTGGCTGGCATCGGCAGGAGCATGAAAACGGATGAACGGCGAGGATGCGCCAGCTCGAAAGTGCAGGCGTTGAGCGGAATACACTTGATGCGTTTTGCGAGGAACACACGAGCAACGAGAAGCGGAAGTCACAAAGCGAATGGGTGGGAATGGGTTCCGAAGAACGTACGACCTAAATTTCTCTCCTATATATGAATGAGGCTAAACGAACAATGACTACCGGTACTCAATTCAATCCCGCCGACATCCCCCGTGCCGCTGCACCTTGTCTCGCACCTAGTTTTGCTCCACCATCAACGGGCTGTGTCCCCTTGGTCGTCGCTCTCAACCGTACCCGTAACCCCCGCTGTAGGTGAGCGAGCGGTGTGAGTTCCCGCTGGAGCTGGACTTGGACAAGGACGGGGGCAAGTACCTCACCACGGACTTGGACAGGAGCGTCTGCAACCTTTACCTGCTGCACAGGTGATGATGAATCTGATGGACTTAACGCTAACGATTGACTTATGTAAACAATCGTAAATGTAGGTTCTTTTTTTCTGTTTAACGGCTGTCTAATGTAGGAGTCATGTTCTCATCTACAAAATTGTTATGAGACTGCCCAAATTTGTAGTTCCAACAAATGAAGCACCCTAAGGCCGTTTTTGTCACCCTCCCCGCATGCATGGCTGTCCTTCCTCCCATTCATTCTTACATGCAGTGTTATGGCCCACGTGGGTGGAGTTGATGATGGCCATTGCTACGCCTTGATTCGTCCAGACCTTGAAACCCGATGGTACGATACCAGCCTAGTGCTGAATCTAGTGCTGCTCTTTCCACACGCCTCGCCTCGCTTTGTCTATTTTTGTTGCCCGGCTTTCTTTGCGCATTCAATTTACTTAACATCTTTGAATTCCTGATCTTGGCTAAGCTCGTTGCCGTCATGGACCGTTGTTATTACTTGGTGCCCATCTATCCCTAGATTCTTCCCCGTCCACGCCACTCCCTTTTCCCTATCAGGTACAAGTTCGTGAATGAAGAAGTGACCAACCATCAGCTCAATGGCGAGGAGGAGGTATGTTTAGTTGTGAAGGGGTAGGGATGGGTGAGTTCTTGCATGACAAGGTGAAGTGAAACAAGTGATGCTTAACCCCATTTCATGTTAGTGGACGACCTGAATTGAAGTGCTTTCAATTGCAATTATCCCTTGTCTCCCCCTTTTCCCCACCATTCCACCTTCCACTCTCGTTCTGGCTTTAACAACACTCCCTTCAACTTGACGTAGTACTGCAACGCCTACATGCTGGTCTACATTCGCTAATCTGACCACGAGAAGATTCTCTGCAGCAACATGGATGCACAGGGCATCGCTCAACCATTGCAAGTAAGATTCTTTCCATGTCCCTTAATTACATCAGTGTTTTGTTGTTATCCTGCTTAGTCTTTTTGTGCCCCAGCCTTTGCTTCCTCTTTTGCTCACCTTGTGGGCGCCATCTTTGCTTCTTGCCTTCGCCTTGAACACATTGCTGTTCCACTTCCCATTGCTCGTGATGCACGCTCGGTTGAAGCGGGAGAGGGAGGAGGACGACCAATGTGCAGTGATCAAGGTGGCTCGGGACGAGGACTTGCAGCAGCAGATTGGCCGAAACGTCTAACTCAATCTGGCGGACCATGGGCTAGTGAGGAGTTTTCGAGTGCAGAAGCAGATGCGATTCACAGACTTCAAAAAGGAGGTGGAGAAGGAGATGACAATTCCGGTCGACAGGCAGCGGTTCTGGGTGTGGGGCAAGAGGCGGAGCGATATGGATCGCCCAAGCCAGCGACTCAGTGCGGAGGAGGAGGTTATGACGGTGAGTAGGGAAGATGGGGATGGATCGGACAGCATGCGGGCGGGAAACGTATGGACGAAGACTGCAGTGCGATGCGTATCTAGTTAAAGGGACGAGAGTTTGCGGAAGGGCTCTGATGGTGACGTGGGTGCAGTCTCCGCGTGGAGGAGACGACAAGCGGGAGAAGAGATGAGCCATGTAGCCCTTGAGATAACAGCTTTTTGGTTGGAGGGTTAAGGGTCTATTGTGGAACTTTTGTAACTTCCTCACTTATGTGTCTGTTGTGCCCAAACCAGGTGGGAACGTTGAAGGGGAACACCCCAGACCTCCGCCTGTTTCTGGAAGACACTCTCCCTCCCACCCCTGTAAGTCAACTACATACTGCTGCCACTAACTCTCATCCATCAATTGATAAACGTCTCAACCGCACTGTGTTGTGGGCCAATGAGCCACTGTAACCGTGTGGATGAAGCCACTGCTTTATGTTGGTCAAAAATATTTATGACCACCGATTTTCCCATATTCATCAGTCAGGGTGTCTTACCGCTGTCCTTTTAAACCTTCATCCCTATCCACGTTTTGCTCATTCTAACGTGCTTTGTCAACCAATTATCGTTGTTTCAAAAATCTCTAGCCGGACGGAACCCCCATTCTCTTTTACCCAGTTAACTTAACGGAAGCGACCTCTTGGTTCGTGGTCTTCGCTTCTTATTAAAATGGTCTATGGTTTTTTGGGCGTCTTTAAGTTCGATGCTATTGCACAAGTGGGCCAATCTTTTCTTTTCTCTTCCCCTTGAACGGGCATGGGCAGGACTTGCCCGAGAGGGCCAAGGATGACATTCTTCTCTTCGTCAAGCTTTACGATCCGTCGCACGACACCATTAGGTGCTGATTGGGAGGCATAAAGATGCGTCTTGTTCTCTTTCTCTCTCTACTCCCTTGGCTTGTCCTTGTCCCAAGTCCCCCCTTTCCCCCCCCCCCCCCCCCCCCCCCTCCCCTTTGCTCCTTCGTCCCCCACATCCTTTTTTTTTTAACAGCCCACTTGGTCACTTTCTTCATCTCTCCCTCTCCCTCCCCCCTTCCCATCTCCCACCCCCCTGTTCCCATCTCCCCATCTTCCCCTCTCCCCCTCTCTCAACCTTCCCTCATCTGTACCCTTGACAACTTCATAGTGCCCCTCTGTTTTCCTTCTCCCTGTTCCCACCGTCCCAGGTATGCATGCCATCTGTTAGTGAAGCCTGTCAACAACTAAGTTGGATATTACGCTTACGTTTACGTACGTTTTACGTTTACGTTTACGTACGTTTTACGTTACACGCGGGGTGCAGGAGTGAGTTTACGTTTGCGGGCAGATTTTGTTTTTCGTTACCTGCCCGGCTGAAGTAAACTTTTCAAGGAAATTCCGAAATGGCAACATCACTATAACAGATAAATCTATAAACACAAAAAAATCTCGTGCATCACAAGGTGAGGCGTGTTACTTTTCGCGAGGTGTACAAACCAGCACGCGCTTTGCCCCAATTTCACGCTATATCGCACAAAGCAACGCGTCCCCCAATCCGTTACTCCGAGTCACTTACCCTTCCACTCCCACGACGTACGCGAGACTCAGAAGGCTGCGACCGATGCTAGTGCGTTTAGATTGACGACCTAATGCTACTTCGTAGATCGACCTACTATGAAGAGCTAAGATCTAGAACCCCTACCCCACTCTATAATTTCTAGTTACGGCCTAACATAACATCTTACCATCTTGACAGGCTGTATCCGCAGCCCTGTACGGTTCCGTAGAATCATTCCGCCAAAAGTAAAGACCAAGCAAACAGTTCTTCCGTTTTTTTTTTTTTCACTGATTTTTTTTACCTGCCCGGACTTAACTTACGCGTATTTACGCGTACGTAAACGTAAACGTAATGTTACGCATAACATTACGTTTAGGTAGGTTCAGGGACATACAGACCCATCTTGTTGACAACAAGCCCGTCGATGTGCTCGAGAGGATAAAAAAGGCGTGCGGCCTTGCTGCCAACCAGGACATTCAACTATTTGAGGTCTGTACCCTGGCAACGAGGATCTTCTGGGCAAAGAGAGAGGTGTTGAAAGCCAGTACCATGCAATCTCTCATCTCACCACGTGCCCTCTCATCCAACTATTTTCCACTTTTCCTTGTCCCCTCTCTTCTGCTGTCGTTCAAAATATGAGGGTGTGAACCTATCGACAAGCTGATAACTATTCCACCCCCTCTTCCCCTTCCCCTCCACTTCTCCATTCTCCAGGAGAAGAACTTCGACACGTGTGTGGCCGTCAGCAAGACAGCAACGTTCAAACACCTTCATTTGGAGGATGGCAGCATTCTGTGTGTGCAGAAGACACTCACAGCAGCACAGAAGAGAAGTTTGAGGCACCCTAACGTGCCCTCCTTCCTGCAGTATGTGCGCGGCCGCCAGGTGGTGCGTTTTTGGCGCTTGGAGCAGCCCAAGGAAGATGTGTTCTGCCTGCTGCTGTATGTTTGCTGCCCAACCAAAGCTGTCAATTGGTTTCTTCAAACCTGTCACATAGTCGTTCGTTCGTATCCTCCTTATCTGGTTGGTTGGCAGTGAGTTAGATTGCCCTGACCCAACCTGTTTCTGCTGCTTTCTCTGGTGTGGCTCGCTTAGGTCCAAGCACGACATGTACAACAATGTGGTGCAGAGGCTGGCAGAGAAGCTTCGGCTGGGCGACCCTTCCGGAATTCGGCTCACGATGCACAGCTGTTACTCACAGCAGCCAAAGCCAGTGCCCACCAAGTACCGTGGGGCGCTTTCTCTTAATGATATGCTTGTCCACAACGATCAGGTGAGTACAGAGGCTTGCTGCCATGTTACACCTTGCGAATATGCGGATGCACGTATTCTACGTAACCAGAATAGAGAGGCATCCGCAACCTCTTGATAGAATGTACAGTTGAGGTACTTACAGTTGTGTTATTTCCATGCTGCCCTCTGCTAATGCAGACAACGGACATCCTCTACTTTTATACGCTAGACACTCCATTGCCAGAGCTGGAGAAACCCTCGACTCTCAACATCACGTTCCACAACAGCATGACAAGTCAGGTGCGTGCAAGCAGACGTAGGTATACTACAAGGCAGAGGGCACACACGGGTGTATGTTTAGATTTGCCCTTTTGCATGATGTAGCATGTACAGAATTTGAAATGGGGATTGGCACGAGAGAACCTCTATTTTGTGTAGCATCGCTCACCTTCATATGCTCACCACCCTTTTCTAAATTGATTGTTGTCATGTTTCAGGTGTCAATGCACAATATTCGACTTGGCAAGCAAATGACGGTGGCTGATGTGCTTGCAGATTTGAAGACCAAGGTAATGGCGGTAGAATTACTCCTCCAAGACGCACTTAGAAACACTGGGCGTACAGACACACTTACTCAATTTCAGTCCTCACAATGTGTCCTCCGTGCCGTCCTGTGTCACGGAGTGCCCAACTCCATGCCATCCGACCACTCTGGCTCTCGGTGTCACTGCTGGCAGGTTGAGCTCTCTCAGCCTAGGGCACAGCTGCGGCTGTTCGGGATGTGCCCCGACAAGATATGCACAATCTTGCCGCTCACTGAGAAGATTGTGAACATCGACACCCAGAATTGGGCCATTCATGCTGAAGAGGTGAGCAGGATCATTCATGCTAGGTTCTTGTCTAAATCTTCATGGGCTCCGTCTTCAAGCCTCAATGTTCATGATAAGTTTCACCTCCACACTACCTTCCACTCATCCCCACGTTATGAGTTTAAAGTCACACGGTTCTTCATTAGGTTTGTTTGCAAGCAGCAAGTTGTGACTCAATAGGTATCACAGCAAAAAGCTGGTATGCCTTTAGTGTGAGGCATCCATTTCACAGCTAGGATTGTCTACACATGGTGAGAGTCCAGCTCAATGAGCGTAACATCAGGGTCCCGTGATTTCAAATTCACGGATCACAAGACCATAGCGGGTAGTTGACTGTTGCTGGTCTGTTGTGTCTGTCGGACTGAACTTAGCTGCTCCTCATTTTCGCAAGGTGCATAGTGTGTATGGGCAGGACAGGACAGTGAAGGTTGAAGGCTGTGAAAGCTGAAGGTTGGTGCCGCTTTGGGGATGAAGGTGACAAAATATTAGCATGCATTATAGATAAATTTCCTTGCATAATGCATCCTAGGGTGTACTGATAAATTTCCCTACTAGAGGGGTGTCAGTCCCCTGCATAATGCATCCTAAGGTATATTGATTAATTTCCCCACTAGAGTGGTGTCTGTCTGGTTATTTCGAGGGTGTAAACGTAAACCTGTGAATGTTATGGTAGTTGCTAACATCAATGACGTGCCTTGTTGATGACAGACATGACACTACTCTGACTGACGGTAAATGTAAACTTTTAGAAGTGTGGAGCACTTTTCAAAAATTGTGTATTGCGAAAGAGGGGGTTGAGGCCATTTGGCCTCACCCACTTTCTTCTTTTCAATTTCGAAGTTTGAGTTTCCCACCAGGGCTATTTTTTGGTTTTGGCCAACCCTTACGATCAGTGTTGCATGTCATCAAAATCCTTATTATCAGAGTATCCCTCAGTGAAAATCCTGATCTGTCAGGGTTTCTGCAGATCCTGAAAATTCTACCTTGGGTCATCAGTGTATTTTAACTTGGTAAATTGGCGTTGCCTCGAATGCAACTGTATTACCGGCCAATGATGGCCCACTTCGTGCCAGCATACGTAATGTCGTGCCGAAATTTACAGTTACGACCGTTGGCAAAGGGGATTCCCAGGTTACGGGGTATTGGGGGTTAGGGGAAGGTTGGGGGGGGTCGGGGGTTGGCTCGAACTCGCTTCAGGGTAAAACTCGATAAGTGGATCGGCAATCCTGAGGCGACAATGTAGCTTAATCGTAAACCCTGGCACATCAGGGAAAATGAAGGTCCTAAAAATTTTACCCTACCGCATCAGTGTTGCCCCCTAAAAACCACCCTGTTCATCAGGGCATCAGGGTGATTTACCCTGATAATATAGGCCCTGTTTCCCATCCTCCCACCCATGTATGGTAATTGTCTCTAAGATTCTTGCTGTAATCGTAGTTATCATTGAACAAGATTGATGTACTCATACCCATATGACATGAAGCACGATGCCTTTACAAATTGCAGAAAGCAAGCTTTCACAATAATTGGGGTATAACAGTACCACGCAGAAGATCACTGCTCACTGACATGCCGGGAAGAGCAGCCTTCAGCCATTCTTGCAGCCCCTTCTGGTCTGTTCTGGCGAGCATCAGAAGAGGCAGGACCTTTAACAAGTTGGAGGAGACACTGCTGGCCGGGGGGTTCAAGAAGAGCGAGTGTGATCACAGCCTGTTCCTGCTGCAAGAGAAGGAGCAGTTTCTCATGCTCCTGGTGTACGTGGACGACATCCTGCTCTTCTCTGAGTCGTCTGCGATGATTGAACGTGTGGAGGAGATGCTGGAAATGAAGTTCAAGTGCTCCAAGATGGGAGATGTGAAGTACTACCTTGGGATGCACGTGGAGAGGGACCTTGACAAGGGAGTGTTGAGGTTGCACCAGAGGAAGTATTGTGAGGGGCTGGCTGAGAAGTATGGGCTGCAAGATGCAGGAAAGCCAGCCACCCCGCTGCCTTCGGGGTTCACTGTGGAGCCCTGTGCTGATGAGGAGGTGGTGGGGGAGAGTGACAGGAAGTTGTTTCACTCCATGGTGGGGGCACTCAACTATGCGGCTAACTACACGCGGCCTGACATTGACTTTGCTACATCCAGGCTTGCGAGTGTGGTTTCATGCCCAAGTCATGAGCAGCTGGAAGCGGCCAAGAGGTTGGTCCGCTATGTGAGCGCTACAGCATCAGTGGGCTTGGAGTACAGTGCTGTGCGACAGAGGCTACAGAGGGGTGCAGCTGATTTGAGCAAGGGGGAGATGCGCTTGACTTGCTACACCGACGCTAGCTTCAACTCAGTGAAGACGGATGGCACCAGCATTGGAGGCTATGTGTGCCTCTTTGGAGGTGGTGCAGTGAGCTGGCGCAGCAAGAAGCAGAACGAGGTGGGGTTGTCCTCGTGTGAGACAGAGTACATGGCCCTGCATCATGGGGCAAAGGAGGTGGTGTGGCTGAGGCGTTTGTTGGAGGAAA